TTTACAAAGCTTTAGAGTTTACAAAATACTTTAAAATTCATTTATCTCATCAGCTAGTCAATTAGCAAGCATTTATTAAGCGTCTAACATACTAGGCAAGAGTCCTTCTACATCTGTAGAGGCAAACATCCTTAATTATCCCCATTTTGCAGATGGGGAAACAGGGAAGAGAGCAAGGTTAGATGATTGTCTAATGCGATGGTTCCAGGATTCAAGATTAAGTCAATTAGAGAGGTGGAGGGGAGCTCAGCAGTTGTACCTGTACAAAAATCCTCTCTGCAAAAATCCTTATGGCTTGTGATGACTTTAATCATTAAGAATTTTTTTTTTCTTAGAGTCTTTCCAGTTTATCAATGCTCTTCCTAAAATTGGGCACCTACAATTGAACACAGACTTGACACATGCTCTAACTAGGAGAAAGGGCAACATAATTAGCCCTTCCCTCATGTTGGCTATAGCACCTTTTTCAAAGCAGATCAAGATTGACTTCATTTTGGGGTTCTATTTTTTATTGAATTTCATTGCTATCTTTTATTTTTATATCTTTTTCATTTCCAAATATATCCTTCTTCCTCTCCTACCCAGAAAGCATTTCCTTATGTGAGGGCAGGAGAATGTGTGGAACACTCTCCTATCTAAATTAATGTAATTACAGAAGGACTAGGCATCTCTATTGAATCAATTAATTAAAAGTGTAAACCACCTGTGAACAAGTCTTTAATCAGTAGGGGAGGCCAGAAGGACTTTGATCATTCATGACACCACACAGGAAATGCTTTGCCATTGGCTGAAAGAAATAGATATACCTTTGAGCCTATACCCACGTATATGTGTATAGATATCCTATATCCTAATAAACCAGTAGAGAATAGAGCATTCCAGCAATAAGTCAGTCTAGTAGTTGAGAGAATTGCCCTTTAAGGGGTGGGAGGAGACCAGTGGTGAATTTTAAGAGTTGAGAAGATTGGGACTTTCCATATGCACACATACCATTGAACCCAGAGCATCTGTGGATGAAGGCAGTGTGTACATAGGAGCTAAGAGACACAGCAGGGACAAACTAGAGATACTGAGGAAAGACAGCCTTCAGGACTCCAACAGAGCACTGACCCTCAGAGCCCAACAGAGGGCTAAACCCTTCATCACGATTCCAAAAGGACTTTCAGTATCTAGAAGAGAGTTACCCCTTTGCCACATGGACTGTCTCTCTCTGCTGCAGTTTACTTTCATTATGAACCCTGTGTATTACTGTGAGAGAATGTCCCAGACTTGCAGAAGGATTGAGCAAACAAACCTGTTCTACCTGCTTAGTAAATACTACTTTCTAGGAGTTAATTAAGGCTGACAATCAATGGTGAACACACCATATGGGGGGTCCTGGGTGACAGTCCTAGAAAAACTCTCAGACTCTCAAGGTTACTCCTCGAACCCTCAGGGAAGAAGTAGTTAGCTACACTCTGGGGACTCAAGCTGTCAGTGCCAGTGGGAACTGGGAGAGTAAGCCCAGAGGGAGTAATATACTTGTAATGATGAATTTTAAAAAAGAGAGAGACTGCAAGAGAAAAAGCAATTCAGCGAAACATGCAAGGCAGCAACCAAGTTAGAGAGCATTTGTTACCCTTAGAGAAGAGCACCTCCCTCCCTTCCTTAAAGAAGGAGAGGTCTAAGGGAGGTGTCTTCTTATAACTCTTACCCCATGCAACCTTAGTCATTATGATTGGATTACATTCAATTTCAGTTGTTATCGAGTTTTCCATTTCCATTATTGGGTATTATTTTTGGCTCTGCTCACTTCTCTCTGCATCAGGTCACGTAAGTCTTCTCAAGATTTTTTCTGTTCTTCATAAGCTTCATTTGTTGCAGTGATGGAATATTCGATCACATGAACGTACCACAATTTGCTTAGCTATTCTTTGTTTACAATTTTTTACCATGGCAAAAAGTGCTTCTATAAATATCTTGGTACACATGACACTTTGTGTCTTTGACCTCTGTGGTAGATATGCCTAACGGTGGGATCTGTGGACATCTTAGACATTTTCTTAAGAGTAATTCCAAATTGCTTTCTGGAGTCCTTTTCTCAATCCATTGCTCTGGCAACAGTGTCTTTGTGTGCCTGTTTTTCCCCGGCCCCTCCCACAATGACTCTTCTTTTGTTATCTTTACTAGGTTGCTAAGTGTGAGGTGAAGCCTCAGATTTCTTTTGATTTGCAAATCTATTATTAGAGATTTGGAGTAATCTTTTTTTTTGATAGTTGTTAATAGGGTGCAATAATTCTTTTGAGACCTGTCTGTTATATGTTATGGGCATTTATTCAATGGGCAATGGTTATTGGTTGTATATTTTTCTCAGTTCCCTCTGCATATTGGATATAAAGTCCTTATTGGAAATTTTTGATGTGGAGATTTTTTCCTCCTAATCAACTACTTCCCTTCTGAGAATCCTAGTTGTATTTTGTTCATACACAAGCTTCATTTAATTGTAATGTTCTTTTTTATTTTTTGCGCATATCCTATGATTGACTAACATATTGAACTTGAAGTCTAGGGAACTGCTCGAGTCTGTTACCTGATGTCAAACTCACTCAAAACTTCCTTCCCAAAATGAAATGCCTGGATTTTTCTTTTCAGCTGATCAGATGTCTTGATGTCCACTGTAAACAGGTTCTGAATCAACACTCTGATGTTGAGACAGAGTGCCCATTCATTCTTTAAAAAAAAGATCATTCAATCACCAAGCATTTATTTACTGTCCACAAGGATGAGCATCTGCCCCTTGGCAGAACTTCTGTGCCAGATGCTGAAGGAAGGTCAAAAAGGGACAGTAAAAACAAAGCAAAAGCAAGAGGGTACCAGAGCCCATCTTTTGACATTTACATTATACTTTTCTTACGATATCACTGTTAGGCAGGCAGTGTGGGTTTTATTTCTTCTATTTTATGGATGAGAAAACAGAGGTCCAAAGTAAAGCAATCTAGTGCAGTGGAAGGCACAGTGGGTTAAAAGTCAGCTGATGGAGGTTTTAGTGCTAACTTTGAATTCTTGCACTGATTGCTAGTCTCACCTGGAGATAAGAGGGAGGGAAGGAAGGAAGGAAGGAAGGAAGGAAGGAAGGAAGGAAGGAAGGAAGGAAGGAAAAAGGGGAGAGAGTGAGGAAGGAAGAAAGGAAGGAAAAAGGAGAGGGAGGAAGGAAGGAAAAAAAAAGGAGAGAAGGAAGGAAGGAAAAAGGGGAGGAAGGAAAAAAGAGAGAGGAAGGAAGGAAGAAAGGAAGGAAAAAGGGGAGGAAGGGAGGAAGGAAGAAAGGAAGGAAAAAGGAGAGGGAGGAAGGAAAGAAAAAGGGGAGGGAGGAAGGAAGGGAAAAAGTCATCAAATCCAGCTCCTCTCATTTTACAGACAAGGAAACTAAGGCATAGAAAGGTTAATCAACTTAAGCAAAATCACACAAGGTAGTAATTGGGAGAGGTAGGATTTGAACAAAGATCCTCTGATTCCATAGGCAACACTCTTTCCTCTGTATTACACTTTTAAATAGAAAATCAAACAGTTCTGAGTACAAACTTTTTCTGGACACAAAATAGGCAGGTGACTGTTTCTGCTTTCCTGACTCATAGGAAGCATTACAGAAAGGGAGCTTAGATATTACTCTGATCCAGGGGGGCCTATGAACTTGTTTTTTAAAAATATTTTGATAATTGTAGTGCAATATTGTAGATTTCCTTTGTAATCCTCTGCATTTTGTGCATTAAAAAAACATTCTGAGAAGAGGTCCATCACGTTTATTAGGCTGTCAAAGGGTCCAGAACACAGAAACGATTAAGAACCTCTACTCTAGTCCTACCACCCTATTTTACAAATGGGTAAACTGAGGCTTAGAAGAAAATGATTTGCAACTCAAAAAAAAATTAAAGTTTAGGTCAGCTGTTTTTAGCCATTATTGATGATGATGATACGACTATGTAACAGAATAGAGCCAGCCTCAAAATTCTGGGAGATTTGACACCTACTGGCTGCTTGACCCTAATCACAAAAGTCACTTAACCTCTTAATAGCATAAGTAAACTATGAATGACTGCAGAGTAGGTGCTGACCTGTATTGATTGGTTTCTTGATTTATCAATGAAATCATGGGCCCAGGTACAGAAAACAAAAGCCAATGTAGTATTATTAGCTAAGTCCCAGGCTTTTAGTCAACTCAACAATGAGCACTTATTAAGCTCCTACTATGAGCAGTAGAACAGTGGGCAGTGCTAAAGCCCTGGGGATACAGATGAAGAGCCAAAGAAAAGCTAGTTTCTACTCCTTATCTCCGAAACTAGATATCTGCTCCGAGTACTCAGAGCAAATTAAAGCACAATATAAATTTCAGCTATCATACTTAGATTTAAGAGATAGCCCAATGGCTATCTTGTGAGATAGGTCTTCTCCGGCTGAATCTAGTACTCTAGTTCCTAAGGTGAGAATGGGGATGTCTAGTCTGTCCACTGACTGGTGGAGGTCAGGATTCAGGTTTGGGGCGGACAACTTGCTGTGCCTGCATCTTCCCCAACACCTTTGATTCAGCAAGGTTTCTGATAAAGTTGATTTAACTTCCTTGTTCTCTTATAAAAAAAAACAAAAAACAGTAGGACCTGATTAACTGGGTTTATTCCACCCTCCCCTTGCTAATTAATGCACCCCGAGTCAGAGGGCCCCCCAAGTACCTTGAGTTTCAGAGCCCAAGGACTACTGCTCTCCCAGTCTTCCCACTACAGATAAACCAGTAAATCACTGAAAAGATTGATCATGAAGAAAGATTTATTTGCATTTCCAGCATGCAGACCATTTCTACATGCTGTCCAGTGACAGCTTTGAATGCTGATTACAAATTCTACGCCCTCCACATTGGGCAACAATCTGAATCCTTTTAGGAGCATAACAGACATTTCATTTCCCCTCCCCTTCCCCTAATTATCCCACCCTCAAAACATACAAATCCCACCCCTGAAATATAATTTGTACAGTGGCCTTTCCTGGAAAGGCTTCTAATAAATACATCCATCATAAAAACAACAATAGTTGTTACTTTCTTTCCTATAAGGATATGCACTGGGTACTGCCTTTGCAAAAGGCATCAACACTGGTCTATCTGCCCCACAGCACTGCACACTCTACTTGAAATTGGCACATGCCCTGAAGGATGCCCTCTACAATGGGTCCCATGGGGGACTGTCACTTTTCTCAGCATACCCCCGCATGTGCTAATGGAATTCTAGGACCCCTCTGGTACCACAATGTGGACAAACTTGCTGAAGTTACTGTTGCTGGGGTACAGACCAACACATCGCAACCTTGATTAATCAGGTTAGATAATATTAAGCCTTCTTCATGGAAGATTGGCCCAACAGTCAAGTCATCCCTCAAGGAACATTACTTTACATTCTTTTAGAATGGCCCTCTCTCTGACCCAATAGACTAGGCAAGGAGAATCAATATCCTTCGATGAGAAGGGAAAGATAAAAAAATGGAGCACTCAGTGCTCTATAAAGGAAAGGGACAAAGCATTTTGCTCTACATTCTAGAGGAGCCAGAGACTTGGAAAGCAAGTCCGGATTTTCCTCTGGATCTAGTAAGCATGGGTCCCCACCATTCAGAGTCCTCCTGGTCCTACCAGGGCCGCCAGAGGCTACTGCCAGAAGGTGACTGTCCAGGGGCTGGCTTGGTCGAGGCAGCAGGGGACAAGGGAGAGGAGGAAGGTGCTTTCAAGTCTTGAATAGTGGTCAGAGACGCCTGTGGCCGCTGGAAGTGATAAAGCAGCTTCATCTGGGTGTCTGTGTTGGCCGAGTGCAAGGTCAGAAACTGGACTGCTTCTTTGAGGCACCAAGAGTAACCTTCACTGTAGTCCTGTTGCAAGCTCTTGGGGCAAGATGCAAAAGCTGCAGGGGAAAAAAGATGAGGTTAGAGGTATAGACAACCAACCCACAAGTGAATCAGAAAACCATATGCTCCTTGGATCATAGGTTTGGGAATTTAGCAGCTCACACCAAGCACTCACCTTTGCTGTGTTTCAGGTAGCTGACGGTCATCTCTAGGATGTCAGCCTTCTCCAGCTTTGAGTTGGGCTGGTGTCTCTGGAACTCTTTCTCCAGCAACAGTTTCAGCTGCTCGATGCTGCTGTTGATGCGGTCCCGGCGCATCTTTTCCACCACCGGCTTCCTCAGCTGTTAGGAGAGAGGGAAAAGAGAAATGAGTGGACCCATTCTCATCCCGCAAGTTAGGAAATCCAATGTCCACCTCGCAAAATACGCCACAGGAAGGCCACTGTAGGAGGGGATACTTACTCGATTTTTCTCTTTAGGAGTGAGAATGTCCATGGAAATAGCGTTGGGGGCCATGGCTTTTGGAAGGATACTAGGGAATAGAGACAGACGAAGATTCAGTTCTGAGCTTAGGCTCCTATCGGATGCAGACTCAGAGCCAGAGCCCCCTCTATTTATACCCTGAGAGCCGCATACAAATGCATGGGGCCAGAGATCTTCCGAGGTTCCCACAGTCCCCGGCCAATCCATGCCTTTAGAAGGACAAAGGAGACAGCATCTATTACGCCATGGTAAATTGGTTGTGAATTGCCTGGGGAGTAATGACTGCTCCCGGGGGAGCAGGTGGACTGGGGAGGCCGCTGGACAATAGAACTGAGCTTTGGCGGGATGGGCAGGGACGGTGGGAAAGCATGGGCCATCATTTTAATTACCGCCGGGCCCCAAGTTGGGAGCTGAACATCTCAATATGTCGCCTTTTCCCAGGCCTGGGGAAGCTGCATGGAGAAGGTTGGAGGGAGGGGAGATGGGGGGGGAGCAGGAAGGAGTAGCTTCCCCCTCCCTTCCTCCCTCCCCAATTCCCTAGCCACCCACTTACTTAAAAAAAAAAAAGCGGAGTGTGTGTGGAGGGGAAGGGGGAGGGTTAAGCCGATGAAGCGCATCTTTCATTTGGACATGAAACACTCTTTGACGTTAACCCAGGAATCCTGAATGGATGGATTGTCAGCACTATCTTTGGGCTTCCCTTCTCTGATTACTTGGGATCAGGGCTGGACTATTTGGCAGCGGTGAGAGGGGTTGAGGTAGGAAAAGGTTGCTGCCTTTTCAGACTTTTTCTGCGCTAGGGACTTGTTGACATTGGTTCCATTTTTATAAGATCATAGGATTTGAGAATTGGAAGGAACCCTAGAAATTGGCTAGCCACCCCTTCATTTTACAGAGGAGGAAACTGAAGCCCCGAGAGAAGTGACGTGTCTAAAGTCACACAGGTGGCAGAGCTGTGATTCAGTCCCAGCCTCCCCGATTCTTTTAGAATAGGGGTACTTAACTGTGTTGTGTCATGCATCCTCCGGCCATCTCATGACTCCTATGGAAGCCTTCTCAGGATAATGTGTTTTTTTTTTAACTTTTTTTTTTTTTAAGGCAATAAGGGTTAAGTGATTTGCTCAGGGTCACACAGCTAGTAAATATCTGAGGTTGGATTTGAAATCAGGTCCTCCTGACTACCCAGGGCCAGTCTTTTATCCACTATGCCACCTAGGATAATATTTTTAAATAATTGAAGGAAATGTCCAATTTTGGTTAGAGGTTAGTGAAAATAAAGATGAATTTTTTTTCCCATCTAAGTTCACAGACCTGCTGAAATCTATCCGTTAAGAATGTCCTCGGGGGAAGCAAGGTGGCACAGTGGATAGAGCTCCAGCCCTGGAGTCAGAAGGACCGAAGTTCAAATCCAGCTTCAGACACTTGACATTTAATAGCTGTGTGACCCTGGGCAAGTCACTTAACCCCAAATGCCCAATCAAAAATCACACATACAAAAAAAATGTCCTCCCACCTTTTAAAGAAGAGATTCCATAGTGATTTGGTCAACTAGCCCTTCCTTATATGCCCTCAGCTGTCCTTTCCCTACCATACAGAACCAGCCTTCTATGATTTTGAGAAGGTTCTAGTCTGCTGGACTCTTCCACTGGCCCCCTACTCTCTGTCCCCTTGGACTTGCAGTCATCATCTATAAATTCCACTTTGTGGTGCCCAACTTTGTAGATAATACTTCTGTGGCTCCCTGTTACCTCTAGGATAAAACACATAGTGCCTCTATTTGGTACTCAAAACCCTTTACCATCTGGTATTGGATAATCCTTTCAGGATATTATATATTATTCTACCTCATGTGTACCATGTTCCAGCCAACCTCTCCCAAAGTTCTGAAGAACACTCCCTGGTCAATCCATGCCTTTAGAAGGACAAAGGAGACAGCAACTATTAAGGCATGGTAAATTGGTTGCGAATTGCCTCCAGAGTAATGACTGCTGGATCTATTTGCTGCCCTTCTACCTGCCCTAGTATAAGTCATACCATTTCCCACCTCCAGGCCTTTGCACAAGCTGTTCCCCACACCTAGAATTTCAATCATTTTTTCAGTCCTGTCTGACTCTTCCTCTTTGTGACCCCATTTGGGGTTTTCTTGGCAAAGATACTGGAATGATTTGGCACTTTCTTCTCTAGCTCAATTTACAGATGAGGAAACTGAGCAAACAGGGTTAAGTGACTTGCCCAGGGTCACACAGCTAGTGTCTGAGGTCAGATTTGAACTTAAGAAGAGGAGTCTTCCTGACTTCAGGCCCAGTGCTCTACCCACAGCAGGAATGCTCTCCCTATTCATCTCTTCCTCTTGGAAGATTAAAGACTTAGTTCAAGTACCATCCCTTATGGGAAGCCTTTCTTGATTCCCACAGATATTAGTGGTGGACAAATCCCTTTACTTTGAATTTGTTTAAATATACATATTGCATACTTAGTGTTCTTCCCCCTCCCCAGCAGAATATAGACTTTGTGAGGGTAGGGACTTTTGTCTTGATCTGTATCTCTACAGTGCCTGGCATATATTAGGTGCTTAATAAATGCTTCCCAAATTGGATTAGTCCCAGCAAATCTTCCCTAGCTTGGCTATCTCAGCTTTCTTGGGAAAGTTGTTATAGGCTACTGTGACTAAGCCTCAGTACTTTGCTCCTGCTTCTCTTTCTTTTTGCCCATTTCTCTCCCTCCCCTAAGCCCTGGGATAGGATTCCAGCTATGGCTAATCTGAGGAGAGAACCAAGAGGGGCCCCTGGAAGCTTCCAGGTGCACCACTGGCTCCAGCATTTCCTTATTGGAGTCAGGGTTATCTGCTTCTCCTTTTACCAAGGAGTCCACATACCGGCTGGCCCAGTCACCGGTCATTTCCTATGTCCTAGGTGAAACATAAGCCCAAAGCAGGCCAAAGCCAGGGTAGCTTCAAGCCCTATGTGGAACAATTAAGTTCAATGGGGGATAAAAAGGAGGGGGTGTCTATTCCTAAGCCAGAGACTGACCTCAAACCCCAGCCAGGGACTGATCACCATTGTGACCACAAACCGGTTCCCTCCTCCTGGCTACAGCCTGACCCCTTACCTTGGCCACAGACTGATGGCTTCCCTGTCCCCCAAAATGTAATTGCAGACTCAAACTGACCCCCTAATGGTAGCTCACAGAATGAGCCTAGATCCTTTCCCAGTAGGTCAATTCTCCCCACCTGGAATGTCAATGTGAAGACATTGTCAGGGTGGGGAACCTACACCCTCAAGGCCTTCTAGATCCTATGGTGAGGGCTTTTGACTCAATCTAAGTTTTATGGGACAAATCTTTTTATTAAGGGCATTCTGTGAAGTTTGGATTCAAAGGGCCGCACTTGAGGACCTAGAGGACCTTGAGACTACAGGTTCCCCACCCCTGCATTAGGTGATAAAGTGTGAATTACTCTGGCTGACCCATCCTCACTGCTGGGGAAAAAACAAACAAACACCAAAAAGCAAAAAAAACTCAACCCAACTCATATGGACTGTCTGACTGATGGACAGTCAGGGAGAATGTTGAACAGGCATCACAGAATTTGAGATTCAAGGGACGTCAGCAACCAAAAAATCCAACCTCATATCCAAAAGGAATCTCCACTATAGCATATTCAATAGTGATTACCCAACTTGGTTTTGAAAACCTCCAAGGAAGGGGAACTCACTGATTTTTGCTCCTGGTAGAAAGGAGTCTGGGTAGCTAGATAGTGCAGTGGGTAGAGTGATGGGCCTGGAGTCAAGAAGACTCTTCTTTAAAATCTGACCTCAGATACTCATCGCTGTGTGATTCTGGGTAAATCACTTCACCTTGTTTGCCTCAGCTTCTTCATCTGTAAAATGAGCTAGAGAAGAAAATGGCAAACCACTTTTGCAAAGAAAACCCCAAATGGGGTCATGAAGAGTTGGAAAAGACTGAAAAGATTGACAACAACTCTCCATTAGAATGTAAACTCCTTGAGGGCAGGGATGGTTTTGCTTAATAAATGCTTGTAGGTCAGTCGTGAATAGACCTGAGTCCATTAGGCTTTGGAGGTGAAAGACTGGGGAAGGCCCAAAGGGATTCCAAGTACAGATTTCAAGAGTCCAGAATGGGGCTGTCTTGTAATTCATTAAAATTGGTACCACATCCCTGCCCTAGGGGGAGAGGGTGATAGATGAGAGCCCATACTGTCCTCTTTCAAGCTTGATAAAGATCAGGAACCAAAGACTGGTTTCTCCTGTGCATTGGACCTTGGACCTAGACCTCTGAGGTGCAAGAGTCCAACCCCTTCATTTTAAGAAGGAGGAAACTGAAGCCTGGAAAAGAATTTCAACTTGACCAAGGTCACACAGATAGCTCATTCAAACCCAGGTCTTCCAAGGCCAGATTCTATAATCTTGGATCATAGTGGATAAAAGGACTTTTTTTTTAAGTTGGAAAGAACATCAGAGATCATCCCAACAGCTTAGAAGACTGAAGCTCAGAAAGAACACATGGTGTGACCAGGATCATACAAGTAACAGATGACGGAGCTGGGATTCCCACCTCGAACCCTTAACTCAATTCTCTTGCTATATTGTATATATATTATATGATATGTTTTTATATTATTGCATAATATGATAATATTTGTATAATATAATACTTTCTGTACTATAATGTCTCCCATCTTTGGGCTATTCTTTATAGTGGAAGAAACAGTGGTGATCTAATGAGTTTAGAAAGTAGGGTGTGCCCCCACACCCACACTCCATCATTTGTCACTGTGTGGCTGATAAGCCTGGTTTCTCTTTCAAACCTTATCAAGGAAACCCAAAGTGAATGCAAACAGGAGTAAGAGTAGCTACAGTGAAACTTTTTTTTTTTTTTGAGGCAATTGGGGTTAAATAATTTAGAGTTGTCTAGGGCACTCAAAGGCTGACTCCTCCAGGGCCACAGAGCCAACACAATCTGAGGCCAGACTAGACTTGTGTCTTCCTGGCTCCAACGCCAAATCCCCAAAATGCTGCCTTCTCTTGCTCCCTAGGGTATCTGTTACTGTTATTATCATAAGCTGGACAAGATGTCCCTTCCAACTCTCCAAACAGATTCTCTGATTATCCAGAAACTTCAATTA